TTGCTAATTTATCAGGTGGAAAATTTTAAAACATGTTTTGGACAATTGAGATGCAGTATTAAAATACAATTTCAGCTTGGAGAGACCTGAATCACGACTGTTGTCGCTGATTTTCCTCCTTGCCAATTAAGCTTTAATGATAAGCCTCCTTTTGCACACTGACGGGAATACATGCACATGTTTGTCCTATCATTTTATCACTGCTGGGAACTGCAGGCAGGTTGGAACAGCTCTCTTAAATCCTGGAGGGCACAGGGTTTTTAAAAGAGGAAGTGATGTACTTTTTACCACAGTCACCAGTGGGTGAGATGTGTCTTTAGTCATCTTTTAGGGTTAGCCTTGCTTTGCAACGTTTGGATGTTTTATTCAAACTCTAAGTTTATTGAGACAGTTAAGAGCAAATCTTTTGAATCTCCTAAAATTATATATTTATCCACTCATATTGACTAAGTTATATTTGACATGATTAAATTCTATTTGCTCTGACTCCTTAGTCAAAGCTTGTAAATTACACAGCCAGTTAAGCCGCATTTTCTGAGCAGACATGAATGGAGTAGTTAATTGAAGCAGACATCCAGCACATAAATCAATAAGTCTTTTGAAAGCTTACAGTTATTGAGGTTCTCATGTGTTACTGGACAATAAAACCTTTATTACCACTTCATCTCATTTCAGGATTAAAGTAAAGCTGGTCATGATAGCCAGAAGTTTGATTTTAACAAGAGTAGAGGAGGGGCCTGGAGGTGGGTTTCTCTTATAATAGTGTCAAACATACTTTATTTATTCAAACATGGCAAACTGTCTGTGCTCAGTGTACAGAGTATCCTGAATATGATCCTACTGTGCCATGCTGCATTTGAGTGCCCTCATTTCAGGTGCTGCTTTTAATGTCATCCACCTTTCTACAGCATTCCTGTCCTGTGGTTTCTTTCACGGTGGAGATCTATTCAGCGTTCTTTCTTTTCATTTATTAAAGCCCGCAGAGAAATAACATGCCATACCTGACTCATACACCGAGTCATTTCCTTTCGTGAGACACTTGATCTTTTTAGATGACAATGTTTCTGGTTTGACGAGTTAGAGACCAAGCCCTCTTAACATTATACTGCATATAATGCTTTATTGTCTGTTTCTTTCTTGCTCTAACGATCTAATTATTGTTTATACTGAGCCACCTGTGCATACTTTACCCAGCTGAAATGTATTGTACCTGTTACTGCTGACGTCTTTATCCTCTTGTGATAATACATATAAGTCTAGATGGATGTGAAGTGGCTTCAGGAGTATAAGACTTTTATACTTGAGAGACCATGACACATACTGTGAATAAAAACAAACATATACTAGGAGGCCTGGTAGCTTGTAACAATGCCCCTGCTTGCTTTCACACCAATGATAGTTATTCACTGGAAAAACTCTGTCTGTGGCTGTCCTTTGTTTTCGACTATGTACTCTATTCTATCTATTTACACTTATTTGACCCTCATTTGTGAATCAGAGAGTGGATTAAGGGGGTTCACAGTTTGGCTTTGCTTGATTTATGTCGCATTCAGATCCCTATAGACTTTAGAAGCTGTGAAATATCTAAGAATTAAACATCCATCTAATTATCCATCCTGGTCATCTATCTAATTGGCCATTAGAGTTGACCCCTAATACAAAAATACTAAGATTTAAGGAAGGCATGATTAATGAGACTGATAGGAATGATTTTATACTAGAATATGTTCATTATAATCAGAAATCCAAAAAAAGTAAAAATTTATGATGTGTGCTCATTGATGCAGCCTGTTACTGCAGCTTCACCCCTTCTCGCAATAAACAGTGGCTTTCTTCTTAAGTCAGTCAAACCTCTGTAACATACGTCTAAATAAAGCTGAGAAATGCTCATTCTAATTCGATGTGTTAAAAAATAAATAAATAAATAAATATCTCAGTCCAAAGTTGTTTCATTTGATCCACTTTTCGTAATATTTCGACTCAGCATCGACCAACACCCTGATAGTCTTTCTAGGCTATTTAAATAAATATTCAAAAGGCGAAGACAGTTGAGCTAAAGTTTGAAAATAATAATAATTAAACAGATTCATATTAAAATACATGAGGTTACAATTTTTTTAAATTATTTATAAGCAAAAAATAAACCAGTCTGATGCTTTGCTGGCATTAAATTTTAGCATTTTTATGTGATTGGTCTCATCTTTTATAAATGTTGCAAGAAAAAAAAATACTAAAAATAAAACACTTTCACTTTTCCATCCAAATACAGAAAACTTCAATAATTAACTTTTGGTTGATTGGACACAAAACGCTTCCTCACACCTCTACCATCCATCCGTCCATCAGTCAGTCAAAAATTAAAAGCAGTAGTTGGCATCAGGTACAAAAATAGTCTCTAGTGTCCAGAGAACTTGCTGTCAAAATTGCTTTTCCACAGCATCAAAAACAACAGCATATAAGTGATAAGACAGGAACACTTAACTGAGGCAATAGAAGGCATTATCATCCATCTCTGCCTAAGGGCTGTGACCTCCTAACAGCTTACAGGTTATGTATGAGTTGCATTAGAGAGGGACCGTTTTACCTGCCCACCCCCCAGCCTGGAAGATGGCTACTTTAATGGCCTCTGTGAAACAGGGGGCCAACACAAAGACTGGCTATACACATGTCAGGAATGATTGAAGTGGTAATAAAGCATTCTGTCCATTAGCAGGGTGTTTTTTGCTATTAACGGAACTGGGGATGGTGTTTTAGCTTGTCAGTGCCTCCAGTGATCCCATATTGCCTGAATGAATTGGCGGGTGGGTGGAAATTGCTGCATCTGTGGAGTTAAAAATACACAAGGGGGTGATTTTGTGTTTAGTTAGGGGGTGAATCTCGTCCGTCTTTCCCCTCTGACGTATACTATTGAAAGAGAAGGGGGCCAGGATGCTAACAAACACCGGTGAACGTCCTCTGTGAGTTGATCCTCCGCCTTTCTCAACAGTGATCCGTCTCCTAGGTGTCACACTGAGTTGGGATGACTCCCAGGCCATGTTGACCCATAGAGGCACTTCCCCTAAGAGCGCACAAACACACACACACACACACACACACACACACACACACACACACACACACACACACACACACACACACACACACACACACACACACACACACACACACACACACACACACACACACTCACAGCAGCCCCAAAGTCTCTGGATAAACACAATTAAACAACCCCACCCTCCACTGTCATTCTTATCTTATCTTGCTTTCCATCCTTAACTGACCCCCCTTCTCCAGAACACTCTGCAAAAGGCCCCGGGGTGGCCTCTGAATCCCCACCTTCCTCACAGCACTATTCATTTCCCCTTAGTCACTACACCCATTACTCTTTTTCCCTATACCCCCCCAAAAATCTAACAATTCACCGCTACAAGTGGGTAAAAAAAGAGCATTTTTCACTGATCTGTCACACATACAACAATAAAATTTTACCAAGTACTGCTATTTGATGTTTCCTGTTGGTGGTGATTTTCCTTGACGTGGCGGTGTACTGCTCAGTGTTTTCACTTTGACTTGTTGCCCATGTAAAACCATCGAGCCATTACATGGAATGAGATGTCTGGATGCCAGGAGAACCTCTTGGCATGGCTGCAGAGTGAGACATTCTGTGTCATTTTCCACCGCTCTGACTACATAATGACCGACGCCTGACCCGGCCCTGCCTTCGGCCTGTTATATCTGATGTATCACACCTGGGGGTGAATGTATGAAGTAGCGAGCGCAGATGGTTCAACGCTTGGCCGCCCCGGGTAAATAGGTAGCATAGCCTGTGGACAGTGAATTCTGTATTGCCCGAGAGCTTAAATTTATGACAAACAAAACAGAAGTTATTATCATGTATCACAGCCCTCCAGGTAGATACAGGCTGGTAATGGATTGCATGGCGTGGCTGTTCATACTTTCAGGGAATGGCTAAATCAGTCAGTTCTTATGTCGTGAGTTAGTGGAAATTAATGTTTGTGTTGCTGCTGTGGTTCAGCGCATGCTTGGCAACTTTTGCACCAGTCTGTACTGTGAGATATTCTCAGGTGGTCACTGAAAAGAAAAACCACTGTTTTTCAGTTAATAACAGACACATTAATAAAAGCTACAACTAAGTTGTCAAGGAATGAGTTTTCAGTAGTAGTTTATCAAACCTCAGACCTCTTTTTTAACATTTATTAAATCTTCTTACAGTCTTGCTTTGGGTCCCATCCTTTTGATACTTTTATTACTGTTACATTTAAAGCCGTACTCGCAGCCAATTAGCTTCTCTCAGGACTTGAACACAAAGACAAGAAGCTAACTTTGCTGTCCCTTAACATAACAAAATCTGTCTATCTTCACCTTAAAAGCTGGCAACCATTAGAATATGTTTTCAGGGGGAATTTGCAAGGAGAGCCAAGGGCGCTCACCATAGGAAACCATTCTGAAAAATGGTGTCTAGCTGTCTGAGACAGTTACTTATACTCTTTCATTTCCAGTTGGCCGAGCCAGACAGGAGTGTAAGGCTATCTAGTGGAATGTAACGATCTCTACACCTCTGTAGAACAAAGAGTCTTATCTCCATGTGACTTCTGCCATTTCCTTTTACCCCCAGGCTCCATGGACACCAAGATGAACAGGAGTGTAAATCACTACCTCAATATCTCCTCTCCTTTCCTTCCTTCCTCCTGTCTGCAGCGTCACGCACAGCCTGCTGCTGCAGGGGTGGATCTGTCTTCTGCAATAGCAAGAAATCTCACGCTGTTTATTCGCTTTCTTTATATTTTGCCTCCCTGTGGCTTTATTTCTTCCCTGCATGGCAAAACAATTCTTAATTTCCTATTTATCTCAAGCTCTTCCTCTTGCTCTCTTTGATGCATCCTCTGTCTCTCTCAGTCTAATTTTTCTTCCCCTGCTGCCTCCCCTCCCTGCTCTCGCTTCCTCTCCGTTCCTTACAGTAATGGTTTAATTGGAGCCTTTTAAGGTGGTTGTGGTGTATGCAGAGGGTGGTGAGGGGGTGTTGAACTGTGGAGGCTGCAGTCGCTGGGCTGTCTGTTGAAGCGTGGTGTGGCCGGCTGGAGATAAAGCAGCTCTGTGTGTTTGTGTGAGAGACCAGCAATTAGGGCCCTCTGCAAAACAGAGAAAAAGAAGAGGAAGACGAAGAAGAGCTGACGTCAAGCACGGTTCCACCGCATTGGATCTGGGGAAATGACAGGATGCAAAGCCAGAAAAAAAAAAAAAAAACAGCAGGAGTGATGGCAAATGGTGGGATAATAAAGGGGGGATAAAATAAAAGGGAGCACTGGAGGCAGGAGATAGACGATATAGAAAACATGATACACACATTATTCTATGATTTTCAATGATTATTATATCTAATTAAAATTCGTAGCTGTAACCGGTAGCTCTGCTATTCTGGCACAGGACGAATTTTCCACTAGTTTTGTTGAATCTAAAAATTTCCACAAGTGTACCTGTGACTTCACCTCTTACTAACACAAACCCAACAAATGCTTCAAGAATGTCCCGTTTCTGTTTATCTTCGGAGGTCAGACGTTTTATGTGGCCGCCTACAGATGGTTGAGGTTGCCAGAATCACCACAGAATGATGTCACTGGCCTGTGGCGTCATTTACAGCCCAGTTACGATGGTGGGTCACTGACTCACTCGTCAAGACTTAGTTGCATGGCAAAACTGTACTGGTTAAACTAATAATCTGTTTACATCTGAGGGAACAGCTGCCAGTTTTCCATCCGTCTACCACACATGGAATTAACTGTAATTTCTAAACCTTGCTCAGGTCTGGGGATATGCTTCTCCAATGTTCATATATGACAGAAATTCTCCGCTGTGAACCCTTCATGTCAAGGATATTATCAACTTATGAATTATAAATCTTTTTGTCAAAGTAGATAAAATACGGTGGAATAAGACGAAAAGGTTGGTCACTCATTTTTCGCTATCTCCTTCCTTTCCATCCTTCCGTCTCTCTTGACAGTCCACATCCATTAGCATGTTCACATGTTCATTATCCTGTAATGATAGCAGCAGCATAGTGCAGCTGCAGTGACCTGTATTTTACCCACATCCCCTTACCGCATTTTAAATCACTGACCCAGAATAAATACCAGTTACCTCACCATGCTGATTGTAAGGATTGTACTGTGGTGAATTGTTTGCCCAGAAACCCACTTAATGGAAACAAAACCTCTCCAGAAAATGAAATACTTCTTTACTTTTCTATTTTTAAGAATACAACTCTTGAACTGTGGCTTCCTTTACGCAGCGGTTCATTGACAATAATGCTCCCAGCTTGGAGTCTAGTGCATCAGACTGAAGTGGATCAAAATACATTAGGGTTTGAATTCACTGAGTGTGTCATAGAGTCAGAAGTATCATTTTCCAGACACTGCAAGATATTTTGTGACATTAGAGCCCAAGATGCGCAATTCAGTGGCAGATTTACATGATATACTTTACACTTGATGTGCAACCTTATTGATATCGGACTCATTTTTGATGACAAGAGTGGTTTAAAAAACTAAAGTTGTTGCTTTCTTGTGATTTATAACTCATCATCCGCTGATTTGATGAAACACAAAAACTATGCAGAGAAAATAGAAATAAAAACCTTATATTGGCTACGGCAAACAAGTCATTTTTCCCAGTTACTATTGTGCTTTGGATAATGTCTCTGATGTTATTTCTGTAATATTAGATGTTCTGGCTCCTCATGAACTAAGTTCAAATGCTCTTCGGCGTATTTTCACTTCATCATTCAGGCAGGTTTTTGTACTTTGAGAGAGGTTTTTGGCAGACCAGTTTGTACCTGTACTGTTTATAATTAATGAAACTTCAAAATAAAAGACAATGTTCATTTATCCCAACTGACAACCGTCTAATTATGACTGCGCATGCTTGGTCAGGTTTTAGTACTCACCCTTTTTCCAGCTGGCTTTAAACAACTTTTCAGCAACTGCAACCTGATACATTTTCATTATATACCTGCATTTAATCAACATCAAGTGCATTTCTTTAATATGGTTTAGCATTTTAATTTCTTTTAAGGTCCCCCAAAGACGTGTTTTTTTCTTTCCTTTGCACATATACTTCAGTCATCCTGTAGCCCAGCATCCCTGAGAGTGAGGAAGCAAAAAAAAGCCTCTGCATTGTATCTTCTGCCCACCTGCTTGGAAAATATGGCTTCCACAAGGGCAGTTTGAATTTGCTCCTGTGGTGATGTAACAACGGGAGTGATTTCCACTTCTAGCGGGGGTGCGCAGCGCAAGGAAGAACATTTATGATCATTACTTTATCATTTCCTTTAAGTCATAATCATCATATTAATCATTTTGCGCTGCAGACGCAGTAGTTCTTCCGCCTTGGCGTCTCGGTCTGATTGCATTTCCATGAGGAAATGATCATAAATGTTCTTCCTTGAGCTGCGCACCCCCGCTGCAGTCGGCGGACTAGCCTGGAGGTCTCTGTAGAAACAAGCGGCTGCTGGAAGAGAGTAAGTGAGTAGTGTTTGCTAAAGAAATCAGGCAAAGCTAAAAAGATGTTTGGTGGCTAGTGCTGTGGCTGGGACCCTATATGTACTGTTGATGAAGTTAGGTGCTGTTCTGAGTATTATTTGTGGCTATAGAGTGGCTTTTTGGTTGAGCGCATGGCTCTGTGTATTGCTATCCTGCAGTCGTTACTAAAGTTGGTATAACTAGAGAAGCAAGCGGTCGGCAACATTCATCTCTCAACGGGGCGTCTAACTCGGTGTTACAGTGTAAGCTTAATTTTATGCTGAAATACCCCTTTAAGCTACTCTTTTAGCTCCTATACACATTTGTGGTTTTGCTTTGGTATTGCAGAATCAAGTTGTGAAAGGTCAGGGTCAGAAACTTTAACGGTTGTTGCAAGATCCATTGACAATGTCTTTGTTCACTAACAGTGGCTTCTTTTAATTTTTGACAACATGCCAACTACAGTTGGAGCTTATGTGTTAGTCTGTGACAGCCACGTCACCTTTCAATGCTTCAACAATACAGTAACACACACATTTGTATTGTACCACTCAGATGCTTTTATAAACACAGCTGAAACACTTCAACTGTTGCCTCCTGTCAGATTAATGTATTGGCATTGGTTCTTCTGGAGTGCTCGCCAAAACTGTTTGGGTGTTTTCCACCTCTGCTACTGTCTGCACCAGAAAACTTAACTTTAGAGACAACAAATACATGAACTGTTGGACATTATGTTTTGTAACCTATAAAGAAATTTTCTAGCGATAGAACTCTTGGCCACTGATGGCCTACATTTAGAAAAACTTCTCACTGTAACTTTAATTATGGAATTGTGTGTGTCCACTTGGGACAGCAAGACATATAAACTATTCCTTTTACTCCGGAGCTTTCATTGAAGGGACCTAATTTTAATTTGTGCTTTTATCTTTTAAGGTATGGACATCTGGTGTGATTACAGGGGTTTTTAAAGTCTCAGTGCTGAGACTGGTACTCATGCCAGGGCCTTGACTGTGTCCATGTGGGTATGTTTGTTATGTCTGTTTGTGGGTTTCACCACATGACTCACTGGCCTCTATTATTTCGCTGCCATCGCTCTGAACAGCGAAATATAAATGTTTGTTTATTTCCTTAGCAGAAATAACTCTGGGAAATCCCTTGAAGGTCATTGCTCAAGCTGGCCATAGCTTTCGTGCCTCTGTATGTCATAGGAGTGATCACGCACCCCCAGACTTGCAGTGCTATTATTACTTCAGGGGTCTGATCTTAATGGATGGTATCAGCCAGGGGTGGTCACTGATGTGGGAGGTCTGGCAGGAGATGGGCTTGGCTTCACTTTTTTTTTTCCCCTCAGAGGAGGACACTTGTGCTTCACAGGCACTTACATATGTGTTTTCCTGTGTCACGCACAAACATGTGCAGACTGACAGGCCCTTGCAGTAAACAAAATACTTATTCACTCTCATTGGAGCAGATGCATACACACCCATTTTGAACTCCTGACTGGAATCTGAGATAGAGATTTGATTTTCTTCTCAATGGACTCTTTTATCGGACAACCTTTGCTTATCACATACAGTACATACTGTACAGTGACTTAATTTGGAGTATAGGAAATGAGATGCTGCATTAGGCCACTCTTTTGGGTCACCTGATTTTGACCTCAACTTTTATGACTCATATTCTTTGTCTGCTCAGATAAGATTTTCTTGTTTGGCAAGACAGATCAATGTGCCAAGATCACATGAGTATAGAATTACAACTTTAAGTTAGAGAAGATATGCCTACAGGGCAGACAAATGCAGATAAAGTTTGAATGCAACTTTTTTCTTCTTCTTCTTTGGTTGTCTGTGTCTCTCCATGTAAGGACAATACATAACAGGTTTCCACTCTTCAATAACAGCCAAACAATTCCATAAAAACAAGTCGAATTTGGTGCATATTTTAGTTTCTTTCCTTATGAAAAACTTAAATCAGGATGTATTAAGTCGTGCGTGTGATATAACCTCTGACACATTCAAGAGAGTCAAAAAAAAGCTTGAAATTCCAGCAAATCACATGTTAAAGTGCACAGAGTCAGGCATGAAGAGGAAGCAGATAACAAGTGGAGAGGAAAGGCAGCTACAACAAGCTTGCCCTGAACATAAATCTGTGAAGCAGACCTGAAGTACAGATGTAATGATGCAGAAGATATGCTCTTTTTGTCACGGTTGACTTTCTGCACTCCTGGAAAAAAAAGAGAAAACACTTCCTTTCTTCCTCTTTACATAACAGCAGAGCTTGTTAAAAAAAAAAAAGGAAAAGTGGAATTGTTTTGAAAAGATCTCATATTTTCTTGTGCTTCAGAGGGGAAAAGTGTGCAGAAATGGGCCTTTTGAGGATTGAAATTGAGCTGAAATAATTAGTGGCGTAGAGCTGGCCTGCCATAGAGGAAGCAATGCTAATATATGTTAACTCAATTTTGCCCCACTCCCACCGGCCCCACACAACAGAGCCTCGAGACGGCTTGTCACGTTTTCTCCCTCCCCAGAAGTAAACATCTGCAAAGGCCTCCATGACACATAACATGCCATCTGTCCTTTTTTCTCATCTTTTCTCTCGTTCTTTAATCCCTTTCC